TTATATATACCTTTAAAATTTATATTCTATTTATATAAATACCAATAGGTATTTGGTGCGGAGCAGATAAGCCTGAGCCAGATTCTTCTCAGTGGCACCCAGTGGGAAGATAAGAGGCAATGGGCAAAAGTTGAAATGCACAAAATTCTATTTAAACATAAGAAAAAGCATTTTTAATGTGAGGATGGTCAGACACAGGAACAGGTTGCTCAGAGAAGTTGTGGATTCTCCACCCTTGGAGATATCCAAAATCCAACATGGGTCTGAGCAACCTGCTCTAGCTGACAGTGCTTTGAGCAGAGCTGTCGGAGAGGTCCCAGGCCCTAGGTCCAGAGGTCCCTTCCAGATTTGACCATTCTGTGACTCTGCGATAATCAGCACAGAAGGAGAAAGTCATATGTATAACTTCTCTGTATCTTTCAGAGGAATCTGACTTTGTTCATTAGCAGAGTCTGTGAAAGTCTGAAGCTGCCAAACAAGTCTGAATCTATGAAGGATCAGAAGAAATGCCTTATAAAGGGATGACCGGTAAAAAGCATTCAAGACAGCAGGTAGGTTCAATGGTCTTCACCAGAAGGACCTGGAAAGACAGGACAGCTGTCATTATGTCCAGGAGCTCTGCAGTTGATACTGAGGAGACAGAGGTGAACCTGTGGGACGTTAGAGTACAGCTTAGCCTCTGAAAGGCATCACAACAGAAAAGCCAAATCTAGGCATTTTCCTTATCCTTGGAAACATGAAAAACTAGTCAGTTTCTTGTAGAGAATTTGAAACGTAGAGTTTAAAACTAAAATAGTTTTAGAATAACATCCCCATGGCAGATCCAAAATATCAGAAACAAAATGGTCACACCAGAAAAGGTAGTAGTGACTCCTGATCACACTGAAGATCACATTAATGATTCAGAGAAGGTGTCAATGTGCATGTTTACTCATTCAGCAAATCTTCATGATGTCAGCAGAACATGAAGTAGAGCTGTAATGTCCTTGAACCTCTTCACATGAAGCTGCACTGGCCTCTCTAAAGTCATGAGCCAAAGTTATCAATTACTAACAAAGATATAGGGCAAGGGACTTGTTTTGATCAGACCATCTTGTTGGTAAGGATTGTAAAGCAGAGCAAACTCACAATTGGAGACAGGCAATCTGTGCAGAGCAAACTCACAATTGGAGACAGGCAATCTGTGCAGTGGAGTGTTTGATTGAGGGTCAACCCTGCATATCACCTAGATAAAGGTAGAGAAGAACAGGAGGGCCGGGGAAGCTTTTGCTTTTATTTTTTAAATGTTCTGGGAACCAGCTGTATCTGAGAAAAAGCTGGCATTGCAGCATCAGTGATAGAACACCAATGAGGGGTGCTGGGATCCACACAGAGCCACAATGTCTCAGAATAGGCAGGATGGGGAGCAAACAAGGCATCCTCCTTGAGAAACACTGGGATTGCCTCTGTGTCTGTATTTCTTCAATGTTCTCTTCAGTGTGGATAAATTTGAAGGTCATTCAAAACTCAAGATTTTGCAATGCATGGATTTTCCCAGGAGGAATGCTGGAAAAAAGCCTTTCCATCCAAAAAAATAAAAAGTTTTCAATTCTATGACTCTTAGGGATGTAAAATTCCTCCAAGGATTAGTGTCATCTAAAGATCTCCTCCATCACAAATAGTTCTCCAGTGCCTGACAGACTCAGCTTAAATCTCAGAGACTCAGGGAAAGCCACGAAGATGCAAAGGATAAAAGACAAAATTAGGTAGTCAAACTTGTGAAGGGAAAAAACAAAGAAAAGAAGAGAAGAGAAGAGAAGAGAAGAGAAGAGAAGAGAAGAGAAGAGAAGAGAAGAGAAGAGAAGAGAAGAGAAGAGAACTGCCCAACTGAGAGTTGAAAGCACATCATCATGGGTCAAACTGCCCAATAAGGCAAGCCTGGAAGTGTTTCCACAGAAGATAAAAGAACAGAAAAAACAAGAATATATTCTACAAAAGAGAAGAAGGAAATTAAGGCTGACGCTAACAAACTGGGAATAGAAGAGTCTAAGGAAGTAAAGTCATGAAAATGACTGAATGCAATCAAAGGGTAGCATGAAAAAATATTCATCTTGAGCCAAGATAACTGAAAGAAACTAAGGAATGCCCTTTACACCTTTGAAGTTGAATATAGCAGGGATACTTGCACTGTAGGGGTCTGCAGGGCAAAAATGTTTCTGAGCCTGAATACTAAAAGTGGTTTGCACAAACAGTGGAGGTACACATATAGGCAAGTACTGAAAAAAGAAGCAATGAAGTTGACTTACAAGATAAGCAGTTATGTAAACAGACATACTGAACTGAAAAAAAAGGAAGATTTTAATTCCAGTTGCTATTTTTTCTAATTAATATGAAATCTTTTGCATGATGTACAACTGAAAATTTACAGTGCTATAAGACAGCAAAATTTAGAACTTTTATTCTACAAACCTGAATGAAGTCAAATACTGTAAGCGGAAGTAAGTCATCCAGTACTGCCGTATCTTTTGAGAATCTGTTAAGCATACCACCTATGGTTTAAGAAAAAAAAAAAAAAGTCAGACATTTTAACACCCCAAAAATCCTACATGTATTACTTTAACAAAAAGTACAACTTTCTCTGAACACAAAATATTAAGGATAAGGACAAGATTTGTTTCTAGTACAAGCACTTCCATTGCAGTTTAGTGGAGCTACAGCTTCTTTCCCCAGGGAAGAATTTCACTCCACAACTTCTGTTTTAGGTCTTGGAATCTCAGAAAAAAAAAAAAGTAATAAAAACAAAAAACATAATTAAACAGGACAGAAACAGAGGCACAAAGCATAAGGTCTGTACCCCTTATGCAGCAGGGTATCTGCTGATACACAGATAATTTGCACATCAGCATTTGTATGAGTTTGTGCACCAGTTTGTTAGCGTCTGAGCAGAATTACTATACTAATCACCAGGTAACAAGAGAGTTAAGAATATAATGGGAAAATGAAGGAGAAACCCTATGGTGTACTGTCATTTACCAGTGTCTCCTGCAATCTAGTACACACCAGTAAGAAGGGTATGGGATATGAATTTGATGTACAGTGGGAGATGGAACTTGTTACACCAGTTTATATAATGAACTCTATCAACTTCAGAGACAAATTTGAATATGCATACCATTATCACACTAACTGATGTTTTATGACTTTTTAGCAGGACTATTCATGAAATAAAGCACTATTTATCATCCACACCTGACTCCTTGTCACTCACCACATAGCTGACTGTATCTTTTTTATTGCAATTTTAGACAAAGTGTATTCATAAGAAGTTATTCTGGTTTTATTGACTCAAACAGTTAACAGTTAATTTTCTCCAACTTACAAGGTGATACTTCAGAATCAGAATTGACAACTGAAATATGTCACCCTTAAAGTGCAATCAAGGTTCATTAAAAGATTCACAAATTACTTTATGTGGCAAACTTTTTACATTCAGCTTGACTGAAAATGTAAATGGAAAGCAACAGTATACTTTAACAGAATGAAAACTGTTTAATTGAAATGACACCCTTACATGAGTCAATCAGTTCCCATCTCGGTTACCTGCTTTCCAAGAGTTGAATGTTGACATAGGTGCATGAAGAACTGCGTGCACCATCTTTTGATGAAGAATTTTAGACACCGTTATAAGCGTATGCACAAGGGGCAAACCTCTGAAGATTCCCATGGCAAGCAGGGTATCTGCCACTCCCACGTAGATATAAATGATGTAGTAGGCGCTAGTGTCAGTGACAATCACAGGAGGTTTGTCAGAGGTACTGTTTTCTGATTGTGTTGTGTTTGCTGTCAAAGCTGTCCTGTATGATGGAAATTTAAAAATAAATACATTACTGGAAATTGTGGGGGTTTTCTCCTTTATTTTCCCTACTAAACAAATAGTACTGCAATGTTAATTTGTTTTAAAACTATGTTAATGGCTAGTTATGTATATTTCCAGTCATTTTTTAAATTGTCCTGTATGTATGGAATATAAATTATGAACTAACCCATGTTCCACTAAGGCAAAGTTACTCTGTGTGTGTTCAGGGGTCAAGGCAATAAATGGCTTATCCGTCTCCTCAGATACCTTTGGTGATTCAGGCACCTATCAGCATTTGTAGTAATTTCTGAAATTAATTGCAATTGTGCAAGGAAGGGTTATTACCAAGGTGGAAATTACGCCATTGTTATATAACTACAACCCCTCCAACAGTTTTCTCCAAACTGCTGTGAAAATGTCCTGCTTTGGTAGTCTCTCGCAAATCTACTGCCAGTTTAATCACTGACAAAACTAGCCTAATCAAGGAAAATGCATCCTCTTCTTTTAACCAAAAAAAAAAGTAGGTTAAGTGTTGGAAAAAGTGAATTGTTATGGAAGTAATATGCTCCAGGTGTCCTACAAAAATCAAAAGCCTTAGTGATCTATTGTAAGGGAGCATCAATATAAATCCCTCCTCCTCCAGATCAGACCTAAGTCACTATATGATTTCTATAGTCAAATGTACAGACTTAGCACTGCGGGACACAAACAGGGATCAAAAGCATCAACCCAGGAAAAGGCACACCGCTGCTCAGTATGTTTCAACCTTCATCTGCCTGACCCTACAACTTCTGGGAATTTTCCGTAGGTGAGCAGAGGGAATCGTACAAATGGGGTCTTACAGAAACTGCTGCCTTAAAAGTTCCTAAGCAAATGTCTCACCGGCACCTGTGAAAGACAGCGGTGAAGCACAGTGTATTCAGGATAATCAAGTCCATGCAGAGAGTGAGCTGATCCAGGAAAAGTCTTGGTGTGTGTTGTTACGCGCTCAATAACAAGGCACAAACCATTTGATCGTTAGCACTTAAAGTACTGGCTTAAGATACCAGCTACATGAGGTATTTAGATAATCCATCTACGAACCATTTTAATGAATGCAAGTTAGTGCCTATCCATATAGACTTCTGGCAGAATTTATTAATGATTTATAGCAAAAATCAATACAAAGGAGACCCCAATCTCTCAATAAATGATGACCACTACTTACTTTTTAAGAAACCATAACCCAACAAGAGAAGCAGCTACCTGTGACCAAAGAAAACAGAGTCATTTTTTTGTCTTGTCGCATTATATACTTTTTCTTACTTAACTTCTTTCACTGACTTTATAATTGTTTGTAGAGAGAGCATTATAAATGGGTGGAAGTCAAACTTCCCTGAAGCAAAAACCTTGTCATATCTGTTCCTCTTTCCACAGAAACCACTTAGTGCATCCCACCAGGAAAGCTACATTTAGACTTGTATTACAATCAGGGAGATATTCTAAATATTCTCTTATTGTCTTTTACCATACTATTAACAAAGGCTTGCTAATGCATTCCTAATGACAAGGAACATTCACTGTATGCTTTAACATATTTAAAGTTTTAAAGATTAATATTTCTTGACGGCCCTAAAAGAGTAAGTCTCTCAATATCTTCAAAGGCAGCTATTCAAATATGAAGTCAAACCTTTAACATTGTTATTTTTGCATTGCTATTCTTCCTAGCTGATATCTACATGTGATATATCTATTTGTCTGAGATTGCTTGGCTGCTAGTTTTACACAATTCTCCAAATAATCTATTTTAATATTTTTAAAATGTAGAATTAAACTCTTTTTATTGTGAGATGCTTCCATGCTCAACAGAGGCTTCCTCTATAACATATTTTCTTGTCTGTCCACTGAGACACTGGAGATCTTCATCTAGTCACCACATTTCAATGTGCCCTATTTCTGCCTATGATCTTTTTTCTAAGGGTCTAAACGTAGTTTCTAGCATCCTCTTCCCATATGGCACTGGTACAGCAATGTATTACCATAATACCTCAGCACATAATTAAAGTCTTCTTGGGAACCACTAATTTTTGCAGGTCTTGTAAATAACTTAAGCTTGACCACAGTCCCTCAAATTTACACATTTGTAGGAATCAAGCTTCTTTCACAATAATGTTTTTTACATCTCCCAGCAGAATTCTGCTCTGATCTTGATTCCTCACAAGAGAGGACCATTTTTTTTCAGCTGGGAAGAGAAAGGTACACAATACTGTAACAGAATAACTTCATAAAGCCTTTCTACATGTTTCCATTTATAACCACTCTTCTTCCCATTCAGCAACCCTTGTCTCTGGGTATTACATCTAGGAAACACAGTTGTGAGTCACTTCAGCGAGCTACACACACAGACACGCACACCCCGCAAATCTAGGAAGAATGTACAAATAATGCCCAATTTATGGCAATCTCTGTGGACTTGACTTGGGACCTACAGCACAAAACAATGCATTCTAAATCTAAAATAGCATCCACATAACCACTTAGCATGGTATTTCACCTCATGCACAGAGGTTTGCTAAAGGTTATATAGTCTGTGCTATGACTGAATATCTTCCAGCCCATTAATTTATCAATAGGCTTTTACTTAAGCAATAGTCAAACTGGAAAGTTTAACTTAGATGGAAACATTCTTTGCCTTAAGATTTGTTCTTAAATTAGAAGATGAGGCTTTTGAATTATTTAAAAAGGCTTTAGTCTAATTTAAAAACAAAAATTTGTAATAAAGATTAGAAATGTATGCTGAATATATGGGGATAAATCTGATATAGATCTCAAAGTTAAAATTTCCTTTCCCCCTACAACTCACTTTCAGCTTTGCTGTTCTAGGTTTACACAGCCATTTTCCACTACCATGAAAATAAAACTTACATGATAAGAACAGCTACGCATCTAAATACTGTCTTGCTTCTGGAGGTGGTTTATATGCTAAAAGTCTTTCCTAAATTGGGAGACAGGACAAAAAGCAGGCAATTTCTGTTATAGGAAAAATAGTCAAACTTGCATGATCATGTTCTTCAGCTTTTTTTCTGACAGTGTTTTCCACTGTACTTGGAAAAAAGCTTCTCCGCATGCTGCAGAAACACCACATCCATCTTTAAATGCCATCACGGGCATTCAGCTCTTTGCCTTATTCATCACTCTTCTTTCACTAGGAGCAAAGCTACTAACTCATTTTTGAAAGCAATTCTCTAGAATTTATGTATGTGCTCATAAAAAAAAAATTCTAGTAATTATTGTTGCTAACCCCCCAAAGCTCTGCAAAGGAATCTTTTCATGGAAAATGGAAGATTATTCACCTGACCTCCATAGGGCAACAGTTTTTATTTATGGTACCACATAGCAGAAAATAACTGAGATAATTTGAGAAGGTGAGTCTTCTGCTGCCATGCACTAATCACTGTCTTTGGTGAGAAATGCTGATCTAAGCAGCAGAAAATTGCAGTATCATTTAACAGCAGTTGCCAATAAGCGATACATAGATGAGCTAACATCTTGATGCTTTATCTGTTTATCCTTTCATCACAACACAGTTTGAACAAACATAATTTTGTAGTAACATGACATCAAGTGCAGGTTTTCTTACCTCAAATAAGAAGACAGTCACACACAAAATCAGAACAAAAATCAAGTTTTTGTGGACTGTAACATATCTGAAATAGGTATTCCATGTGGTAACAGTACCCATGCTTTCAGCATCATCAGTAAAGCATTCCTGTCAAAGAATTGATAAGAATATAGTCAGAATGATAATAATATCTATGTATGAGAATTTCTGACACATGAATGCTATCATTCTTTTTGCTAACTTACTCCAAATAATTGAACTGCAGCATTCAAATTGGCTGATAATGGCTGGAGAGGAAGGTACTGACTGGTTGAGTAATCTTTGATATAACAACACCGTTTAGAGATGATTTGAAATTTTCAGGCAACACTGAAAGAAACAACCAAGATCTGTACAGCACTACTAGAAGCCCAGAAATGTTTAGTCCATAGCTATTTTCTTTCAATGGGGATAATTATTGTGCTGTTAGAGTAAATTTGTAAATACTCTGACAGTTTTTTCTGCAGAGATGAATAAAGCAAAAGAAAAAATGGGCAGTGCTTCAGCAAATTATAAGTTTAAGTATTTCTTGTAGACTTTTTTCCACCTAGGAAATAACTTTAGAAAATCTTTCTGTCCTGTGAAAATCAGCTGTCAGTATTGAAAATGAAAGTAGTTCACCATGACCAGTTGATAGTTATTAGAAAAAAAGGAATTTTCCTCCAGTTCTTGGTATAAAAGACCTTAATTGTATAATTTCCAGCACATCCATAAAAACAGAGTGAAAAACAGCTTACTCCTCTGTTCATTATCTGTATCAGAACATAAGAGCTAAGCAGTCTAACAAATTTGTCAAATTTGATCAAATTCCAGTTTTAAAAACTGTGCTAGTACTTCAAATTTATTTTATTTTTTTTCCATGAGCCTTAACGTTTCAAATGTCAGTTTTACATACATGATTTAAAGCTATGTTTTCCATGTTATGGTTTCAAATTTCATTTTAGCATAAGTAATCTTAAACGTAGATTAAAGTGCAGGAGATTAAAATTCTGTATTGAAATCCTCTACAGATAACACTCAAAGACTATAAAATAATCAGGCAAAATAAATTTTTGAGGATTTCAATGATTTCAAGATGATATTTGAGTTTAAAAAAATTCACAGATATTCCAAAAAGATATTCCACAGTGAAGTACTGCATTAGCAATGACATAGGTAGAAAAATATATAAGGAGTATATTGCACTAAACTATCACCATATCAAAACCCAAGATTAATGTAAATCAACACACACCTTCAAATCTTCTTCACTGATTTCATCAGTTATGTCCAAGACACTGTCTCGAGACAAGCGCCTGGTGTAGATATCTATCTCGGAAGACAAGTTTGTCTGAGGCACCATAGACATTTTCCGAAATGCTGTACTTCCCTTTTTGGGAAAGTTTGCTCCATAGTTCACAGAGGTACCCGTCATCAGGTTTAACACAGATTGCCTCCTCCGACCTTGCAGAATATGATCGGTGCTTAGCACGTTACTCCGAAGCAGACCTACATCTCCCTGTTCCAAGTCAGGTACCAGTGAGAGCCTCCTTTCTGGTGGGTCATTGTGGCCATCTTCTATCCCGTTCACCTGCATCCCGTTCCTCTGCACTACTGAGAACTTCCTACTTACATTAAGGGGGTTAATAATTATGGAGTTCTTCCTTTTGTCATTAAAATCAGATGTTTGTTTAGAAGATTGCTTTTTTACTTCATTTCGTGATCCCGTGCCTTCTCCTTCAATGGAAAATCGTCGGAGAGTCTCAGTTAGAATTGAATTTCTTCTCTCTGCACTGAACTGATCAAAAGAATCAAATCCCATCAGCTCTGAGCTGAAGTCTGGCCGTTGACCCTGAAGTTCAGAAAATGTTCCATAGAAATAGCAGCTTCCCTCATGTAAAATTAATATTTTGTCAGCAATCTTTAAATGTTCCAGTTTTGAGGTAACCAAGATCCTAGTTTTATTCGCCATCAACTTGCACACACAGCTATAAAAGGTGAAAGTGTTAAAAATTAGACTTTTTCTTCATGATTAAATGTTGCTTTTAACCCTTTCACTTTCAATCTGTTTGCTTTTACCTGTTCCCCTCCCAGTATGAGCAGTCTTGGGTGCTCCCTCAAACTACAAAGGAGGTGGTAAGGCTGAGATTTGTCAATGGTGAGTACTTTATTGCAGGAACAAAAAATAGGGGGAAAATTTTATCATTTTCAGGTCAATCAAAAAAAGCACAGTTGAACATGAAAATGAAATATTTCTTCTTAGGGTTACTTAGATCTTTTTCTAGCAAACTTAAAAGTATTAGCTCAATTTCAAAACTTCAAACTTATGGTGACTGAAAAGCTCATGGATGGCAGTGTGTGTCCTTACTGTTTTGAGCTACACCACAAGGACAAGCCAGAACTCTCTGTCTTTGGCCAACCTGCTGCCAATCTCTTGGTCAGTGGGCACTTCTAGGTGTCCAGTCTTTCAATCATTAGAAAAACAAGAAAAAATACAGCTTTTTGTAAAAAATTATACTTAGAAAGCAGGCAAGTGTTTTAAAATGAAAGCCTTTCTGGTACACAGACACGCCAGATATAAAATCATGCACATTGGGAGTAATAGATTATAGCGGGCCCAATACATTGAGATGGAAGAGAGAACAGTAATGCTCACACCTGGCCCAGGCTTGTTCCCAACACAGTACGCTGTCCTACTGCTAACACAAAATACTTATTCCTGAGAATCCCTAAAAATAAACATCTCAAAAGGTATGATTTTGATCACTTCAGTGTTTTTGTACCGTTATTATATTTCTGTTCTTGGTTTTACTTTGTGCTGCTCAGTGGGATTCCTAAACACAATCTATCAAAGCATACAGTACCTTTCAAATATCTCTTTTTCTGTAAAAATGTCTAAATGTCCAAAAGGAGAATCCAGGAGATACAAATCAGCATCTTTGTACACTGCTCTGAACAGAGAAAATGGAAATGAGATTAACTTTCATGAGTCTAATAAATTTCAATAAATATAGGTTAAAAAGAATGCCTTTACAGTTTTGTCTCAAAAACTTATGATTGATAGACTTTTCTACAGCATCAATATGGAGCTGGAGTTCAACTTTAAATGTGCTTGCAAGACACCTTTCAATAAATCCTTTCTTTGTGGCAGACCACATTACAAACCAACTCGGTTTCCATTAATTTCTGTGCTATCGAAGGAAGCTATACAGCTGCCTTCTACACAGCTTACTCCAAAGATCTGCTTATGGCCTGAATCTGACAGTCCCCATCTCTGTACAAGGACCATTTCAATGGGAATTTAGTACCTACTGTAATGTCTACTGGTGCCTGAGGTAATATTACACATATGTAAATAAGTGTGTAAAAAACTTCGGTCTCAGCACTTAGTTTTAAAAGTACTTTGAAATAACTGGTGAGCAAAGACAAGTGTATTAGTGAGCCATGATCTTGGAAACATTATCTGAAATGGGACTGTACAATATTTCGAGTTCAGGACACTTACTTAAAACTATTTGTAGCATTAGGACCTTAGGCTGTGTGTGCCTGGACATGGCTCACTGAGAGCTAAACCTGTGGTTAAGAGGGTTTTTTTGCAAATTAATTTCAATAGAAGTTCAAAAAGGCCTGTGAGTATGAAACTCATGATGTGATATGAATCAGGGTATAATTAGTAACAAAAATTTGGACAGCTGCATTTTGGTTCTTTTTAAAGTACCCTAAAAATTAATTTTAAAATCATTATGTTAAACAATGTGAAAATACTTAAGCACCAGGAGAAAAAGCCCTCAATAATAGTATATTATGCTAATAAACCAACTGACTATTGAAAAATCCTCTGTCACGATGGATTTCACTGACCATACATTATGATGTAGTGGCTGCACAACAACAAAAAGTTCTTACTGTTCTTGGCACTTTCATCAGCAAAAGGTTTGCAGGGTTTTTTCCCTGGAATAATGGTAGAACTCAAATTATTGCTATGATTTGTATGCAGGGCTTAGTAGCTATACATGACTGGCTTTAGGATACCAGGCCAGAGAGTTAGCTCAAACCCAAAAGCACGTACTGCTTTTTGACCTTGATCCTTTCCTTCCCCCAGTTGTAGCTGCAGGCACTGACAGTGCTCTAGAAGAAAGATGGATTCAGGCAATCTTCATCCGCTTCTCATGATGGCTGGTTGATGGCACTTGCAGCAGAGATTCTCATTTCACATGACTTTGCACAGAGTACACCAGACACGTGTATGCAGCCAGTTCAAGCAAATACCATCCAGCTTATCGCCTGCGCCGATGGGTACAACCCAGGGCTATAATCCTAAATTTTCTCCTCTAGCTTTCTCAGAGCTTCATCTGCAACTCACACCTCAACACCTGCACACCTTGCTGTATGCTGAGCTTAGACTAGAGCCCAAAGAAAATGTAAAGCACGTACAGCCAGTGTCTTTGGGACATTTAATTGTTTTAAAAAATAATAATTATATAGCTGACAATAAATATATTATATTGGTTCTGTGACCCTCCAGTAAATGAGCTGTGATCATCTGAAAAGCAGCAGACATGATTATTCACAGAATCTGGGAAATACTTCTCATAAATCTTGCATTTTAAATGAAAATCTAAGTCTGTTTTGTTGGTTGGGGTGTTTTTTACTCTGAAAGCTTTGCCTGCTCCTCCTCTCTTATTTTACCACATAAAACAGAACCATCCATGCCTCTTCCATCTCACAAATCTGCTAGAAAGATCCACACTGAAAGCATCTCCATTTTAATGAACCACGCTTACACATCTTTCACGGGATGCCAGTGTGGATCACCATAATGTGATTTTACTTCTACCCAGCATGTCTGAGCATGGGAACCAGCACAGTTTGTACTTGGAACAGATATAGATGGGGCCATTTACACATCAGAGCTATCATTACTGGATTTCTGATGTTAGCTAAGTGATTCTGCTGAAACACATAGCTAATTTATAAGACAAACACCTATGTTATTGTTCTGTAGCCCTCCAGAATTACTTATTAACGTTGGAAGGTCAAATAGACAAGGCCAGACCATTATTCACAGGTGCTGACTAGCCATTGCTTTCCACTGCTTTTTACAACAGAAAAGGACCAAAACTATTAGCAACGCTTATTGTAACATGGCATTTTTTTTCAGTTTTGTTACCTGCAGACAGGGAGTATGTCATTAATCAATATATAAACTGCTTTATAGAAGTGTCATAGCATGGAAGGAACCTGGATTATTTCTTATTTGTATCTTTGTATGGGTTTCTTCAGTACTAAGAAAGCTACACTTAAAGGTCTGAATCTCCAAACTGCATCTTGCATCAGGGAGGGAAAGATTCATCTTCACCTAAGCCATACCATGTGTCTGACATCAAACTTATAAAATTCAATAAATAAATTTGCAGGTGTATCACAAACACAATTGCATAGCAAAACTCAGATTTCTGATAGTTAAATGAAATTCCTGATATTCCTGGAGGATATTTATTTAACAGGACTTGGTCCACGTGTATTTAAATGCTTCGTCATCATACTTACCTTATACATGAAACAGTACACTACTTAGCAAAATACTCACCTTGCTAAGGAGATTCGTGCTCGCTGGCCTCCGCTCAGAATGATTCCACCTTCACCCAGCACTGTATAATCTTTGTCTGGGAACTTGGAAATGTCCTGTTAACAAATTTTTTTTTTAAGAATCAGACATGTGTTTTCCATATCCCAGAAACTCGAGCTACAGACAGGATGGAAGCATAGTGCACAACAGTGTACAGACATGTCAGCCAGAAGTCATAAAAAAAAAGTCCCACAGAGTTTTATTTCTTTCATTTGCTTATGTAATCAGAAATAGTGATAAAAGATGATGTATCATTCTGTCACAGAGAGCAATCACAAGCTGCAAGATCTCAAGAACAAATATTTGTCTTAATTGCTAGATCTCCATAAAAGCAAGGAATGTACCTTCATACAATACCAATCCAAGACGTTAACCATTTGAGTTTTCTGTCAAATAAAAATGATAAGTGCACTTGCCACTGACGTTAGGGAGAGCAAGAAGCAAACCCTGGATCTGAGCTCTTCAAAACCCAGAGAAATTTATGCTTCATGCAGGTTCATTAAAAAAAGCTTGCACAAAATTCCTAGCTGGGAATGCCAGGAATGCTCAAGGTTTGGGAGCCACATTCCACTGCTTGGGTTGTAAGTTGCTTACAACTCATGACTATGCTAAAAATTAATCTTTAGCCAGTGATAAAAACAGAAAATACCATTTCACACTCATGTGAGACAGAGAAAGGAGCAAAGGAGATCCTTGTGACCCACTGGCCAAGGTGGCCAGAAATTTTCTTGAGAGAAGTATTTAGCACTGAAACTGAGGATCCATGCAAACCACAATAATTCATGGAAGTGGAGACACGGAGAATGGCTTGTGTGCCTGAAGGCTGTCTAGTTTTTCTACTTTTACAGTTGCTCTAACAAAACATATTAATTCTGCCTTCAAGCCTTACCTGCCCTATGTCCTTAAGCCAATACAGTGACACCACTATCACTGTGGTGGTGGTAGTTTCAGGGTACTTTTCCCAGAAACACGGGCTGGATGACCTCCCTGTGCCCCAGGACACCTAGGTTTCCAGCAGGTATGACTCCAGGGGAGTTTGCCATGCACCGAGCTGGAAGCCCCAAGGGTCCCAGAAGCTCCCAGTGCCGGTGCTCACCACTCGGCAGCACCGGAGTGCCGCTCTCGCTGCCCGTGCAGGCCCTCCTGCTCCCAAGGCAGGGATCTCCTGCAGCCGAGGAAGCCAACCGAGGCATCTGATACCAGACAAAATTGGCTCCAGTGTCCTCATGCTTTACAAAGATTTTCCTTTTAGTGCCACTTTTTTGGGGGGGGGAAAAGTGGCATGCAAAATCCCACAGAAAGTGAGCTTCTAGGAGCAGGCTTTAGGCAGCCCCCTGGAAGAGGTGGCCTGTTTTGGGGTGCCTTCTTCGCCAAGGGGCACTCTGCAGCACCCACAGAAATCCTGCACCTTCTGGGAAAAAGACTGGAAGACACATGGAGCACTTCCAGGGCAATACAACCTGGCATTCTAAGGTGAGCCTCTCTCTAGAAGTTCGCGTTTCATGCAAAGTCAGATATAATCCAATTTTGATCACCCCTGCTGTGATTCTGATGGCTAATCACACTCTTTTGGGCAGCCTTTTGACATTCTGAGCCTCTGAGGTTTTTCTAAATAAATAAATAAATAAAAATCCTTCCAGAAAATGTTTCCTTCTTCCTCCGCTGTAAATTGGCCTGACCTCAGGAAAAGAGTGAACAATGCCGTTCAGCCCTGGATCAGTGACAGATGAAAGGTCCAGCCACTCGAGGACTAGAAATTGACTGCCTGGTCTGTCGGGAAATGGGAGATTCTCCCAACTCTTTAATTTGATAATAGCATTTACTTCCTGGCTTAGAGGATTCTGAC